TCTAGAGCAGGGGTGTCCAATCCTGCTCCTGGATGGCCAACGTCCTGCAGAGTATAACTCCAACCTGTTTCCAACACACCTGCATGAAAGTTTCTAGTAAAAGATCAAAATACCTTGATTAGCTCTGTCAGGTGGGTTTAATTATGGTTGAAGCTAAACTCAACAGGACAGTGGCCATCCAGGAGCAGGATTGGACAACTTAGGCCTGGGACACATTAGGCCGATTTTAAAACTGGTGGAGACTTAAAGTTTGTTTTCTTTGCACACAAAAAGTATTCTCGTAGCTTCATAGCATTATGGTTGAACCACTCATGTCACAAACTATTTTAATGATGTCCTTACTACCGTTCTGGGCCTTGAATGTGTCAGTTGCGTTGCTGTCTATAGAGGGTCAGAAAGCTCTCGTGTTTCATTAAAAATATCTTAATTTGTGTTCTGAAGAGTTCCTCTGTCACACCTCTCATACATATTCAGGTTTGCGGAGCAGGATGTGGAAGTAATCAACACCAGACAACATCCAACAGCGTGTACTTTGTTGTATCGGCTCTATGATTACCAAGCCAGAGCTAAACCCACCCTTAGCGTGTCTTCATCCAGATCCTTGACTTCCTGGATCATCTGCTGAATCTCCTGTGGCGGAAGGGCTGAGAGCATGGATTGGGCACAGACATCTGTGGCTGAAGTGAGCGGTCGTTCAGGTTTCCATTCTTCCTTCTCGCACTCCTCCCCTCTCTCGATGGTACGCTCCCTCAGTTTAGCCAAGCTGTAGACCAGATATAAGTTAGCTTGATTGAAAGTGCCTTTGACCAGAGATGGCCAACACTGTTTCCGAAAGATTACCATATCCTGCAGAGTTTGGCTCCAACCCTATTCAAACCCACCTGAACCAGCTAACCAAGGTGTTCAAGATTAATTGAAAATAAATATCTTAATTTGTGTTCTGAAGATGAATGAAGGTCTTACAGGTTTGAAACGACATGAGGGTGAGTAATGAATGACAGAATTTTCATTTTTGGGTGAACTAACCCTTTAAGGACAGTTCCAACTGATGTTTAACATTATAATCTTCCAAACACACACACTACACAATTAGACCAGACCGCGAGACTACATGCATGCAGGTTGTAGTATCATTTTCACAGTGAGATGAGATCTCACAGAGACTTGAGAAATCAAACGTGACTTGGGAAGAAAAACAAATGGAGGACGATCGGTGTCATCAGCTGGTTCTTCTTGCATGAGTTGTGTTTCATGGGAAGAAAAACAAAGGAGAATATGAAAAGAATATGGGTGATCTTCTTTCTCAATACTCCACGTTCGTGGCATGTTTGTGGCTGTCAAGTTTCAGCTATAGAAGCATGCAACATCCAGTTGGTGAAGCTTGCTTGCTCTCACTGGAAGGTGTCACGTCAGAGGCAACCCTGATCAAGATTTGTAAATTTATCAAACATGTTTGATATTTGCGATCTGGGATCGTGCGGGTTTTGACGTGATTGGGAGCAGTAAAATAATCATAATGACACCACACAATTGAAGGATTTTTGGACAAAAAAAATCTCACAATCGCTATGGGGGGTGGGGGACAAAGAGGGCTCAAAATCAGGCTTGAAATCTTTAAGTGTGTGGCCAGCCTTAGACTTCTTCAAACTACAAGCAAATTTTACATTTCACTTGCACACGTTGTGGCCAATTTAATCACATCTGTAGACTACTTTAGCTCAAACATGCATGACAGGAAAGTGTTTTTTTTTCTAACAGCGATAAGGACTAGTTTGAGAGCTTGCAAGACATTAGCATGAAATGGTCTGTTGTTTGTGACTAACTCAAAAGATCTGCATTTCCGCTTCTTGTTTAATTTAAAACAGATTTGCGAATGATTCAAACCTCTGCAATGCCTTTATCGTGCAGCCAGTTCTCAACATAAAAGAAGCTGACATTGTTGGCTCTAGTCCCTGCAAGTGATCTTATCCCATCAGCCAACACAACACTGCACAGAGTGTAATTATACCCCAAACGATTTCATTTTCAAGGCACATTAGTCCTGCGTCGTTTTCAGAGATAATATGCTTGGATAAGTTGCATACCTTACAGAGAAACCCTTTTCGTTGTTTTCTAGTGCTGTTGAAGGTGGGAGCTTTTCACCAGGAGAGTCTTCCTCTATTGGGTTATGAAGAGGGGATCCTGGTGGGGCGCTCCAGGGGTTCCCAAACCGAATGCAAGGGGACTGCGGCAGGGATTGCATTGATCGCATCAAAGCATTGGACACTTGGTTGCTGAAGGACAAGATGATCCCAAGGCTCTCCCCATCCAAGCCGCTTGAGTTGGGGGCATCTGAAGAGGGACTGAGGGGTAGACTCCGGGTCCTCAAGCTCACCGCATGAGTTCCTGCACCTTCAGTTTTTTCTATAGGACCCTCCTTTGAGCTGCTCGATCTCCTCGGGACGTGGCTTGAAGGGGGCAAATCCTCTTCAGAAGGTGAGGGTTCTTGCTCAGTCTCAGTAGCAGGTGGAAGCTCTTTTGTGGAGTCAAGAGCAGGTTCCTCAACAGGGATCGACTTACAGGGCTCTGAATCATGAGAAGTTGATTGATTTTCTTCCTCTGCCGGGGAATGATGGGTCTCTGAAATGATATCTGAACCGAGGGAAGCTGGTTCTTGCTTTTCTTCTTCTGGAGGCTGGGTGGTGGCTGAAATTGTTGGTGTAGACTGGCAGCCATCATTATTGTGCAAGTTGCTTGTGGTAACTTTAGTTCTCCCTGCATTGCTGTAGTCTGCAGATGAGGTTTCAGTCGTCTTCTCCACTGGAGGAAGAGACGCAGCTGGGGCCAGTCGCCTGCTTGGCCTTTCGGCTCCATCAGGACTTGAGAAAGTCTCAAACGAGTTGATCTTCTGTCTGATTGACAAATTGGCTCCCGTTGAAGCGGCCCTCAGACTAATCCCAAAGGTCCTGCCAGTATCGTGGCTCCTGTTATGCTTCGGTTCCGGATGCTTCAAAGCTTCTGTTATCGATTTCCCAGACTTAATGCTCTTAATGCTCTGACGTGCCCATGCAGGCTTTGGAGCCACCGGGGGGGCTTTTTTGCCATTGGGAGATTGCTCAGATTTGGAGTCTGAGGTGGTGTTTGTGGTTTCAGAGGCCGTGCCATTAACCTCACTATCTCCATTTTGGTCACTCATGGTTTTGTAGCAGTAGGACTGGTTCTCTGGGCTTTCAGTCAGCTTTACCCAGGGGTCAAGTGGTTGATCTGTACTGACCTCCAAACGAGCCTGACGTCTCAGACCGACCCGCTTACTCGGACTACACACGTTAGATGGGGAGTCTGGACCTGTAACATAATAGTGTCCTGTTCATTTCCTTTTAATAAGCTGTCGAACAGAGAACTGCAAAGTGAGAACTAACTCACATGCTGCCTCACATCCAATATTTGTCACAATTGTTTTATTTTCATTCAAAAATAGAATGTGATATGAATATATCATATAATATGAAAATATTATAATATAATAATATTACTATAATATGAATGTTACAAAGAAAAGAAAAAACATTGCTTTTCTTTTATAAAAATCTTGCTATACAGGAACTTACTGTTACCAGCTGAATCAGGAAATGAAAAGTCTCAGCATACATGTTTTGATCTTGCTCAGAATAGTATCAAAGTCAATCAAAGTTATGCAACCTACATGACATACGTTTCTCTTTTTGATCTCGTCACGTAATAATATTAACCAGTAGTAGGTGTATTTCAGGTTAACGTACCTCTGTGCTGTCTGTCCCCTCTGTGTGTTGAGTCACTTTTAGGCTCAGAGATACAGGCAAATGCTTTAGTTCCGACTTCTGCGCCTTCAACCACTTCCTGTCACAAAAACAGGAAATGGTTGGCTGAGTTCGAGTCTTACAAAAAAATCGAAAAGGTGTAGAAATGCATTCGGCATCATTTCGTCATGCATCACTGTTGCACACAGAAACACACACTAGAGCCATGCCGCATGCCAAACACTCAAGCATTTCAATACCTGAATCACACATATGACAAAAAGATGCACTATTGTGCAAATAAATGTTTGTATAAAGTGCACACAGATTCAAAATTTTCATCAAACACTGACATGAACACGTCCAGAAAGAAGTAGCATAAATTTCTACGTACATTCTTAAACAGAAGCCTTGAGATCTTTCTCAAAGCCCTGTATAGACTGCAGAAAAACTAGATGCATGTGGAGAGACAATAAAAGATTGTGTAAGGCAATAAAAGTTTTTAAATAATTATAGTCACTGTAAAATCAATGCCTATTTAGGTAAAAAAAAAAATTATTTGTAAAGGAAATAGAAATTAGCATAAAGGAAATGCATTTGTAAAATGTATAAAAGTGAATGTTTTAGATTTGTCCCCATTTTTCAAGTTTTTATCACCGGTTTAATCAACTTACTGAAAGATGGTGTGCATATATTCACTGTAGTCTGACCAACTGAATACTGCTTAGTTTTATTTGGTTGACACCTGTTATGGTGCACTTTTAAATGAAATTAAACTAAATTAATCAAATAATGCATTGTGCGAGACTGATGACTGAGTGCACCTTTAAAAAACATAAAAATGTCTCATTCACTTCCTGTTGGGGTCCTGATTAGCCAATCATTAAAGCAAGAGATGGCCAGATTAGAAATACTGTATGTGAGTCACTCCATCTAATCACAATAATTGACAAAATATTCAAGTAATGGAGTTACTTAAATTATTTTGTTTTATATTTCTAGATTTGAAAATAGATAATGGCAATATGTTTAGTTTTCACATTGTTAAATTTGACACATTTCAGTTTTTCACAGATCATGATGAGGACTGTCATCCTGTTGAACAATTTCCTCATTTTATCGGAAATTGCATAAAATAAAAAAACTATTTGCACACAATGTGTTATGTTTATATATACTTTTATATTTGCTGTCCAGTCAGATGCATTCAAAAATCCATTCAAAAAATCTAAGGAAAAAAAATGAATGCCCCTTTTCTCATTGAGAATTATGACAGCTGCTCACGTGCTCTTTGATGGTGCAAGATTTTCTCATGCAAAACCTGTGAAAAAGTTGCCAATAAGGCAAGGGTTGCAGTTAAGCCAATCATGTCTTGACTTACTCAACTACCATTTATGGGCAATGCATCAGTCTTACAGTGAAAACCGCCTACTTGTAAACAGTCTCTTTGACAGAGAGCAAAAAAAGCAGTAGTTTAAAGTAGATTTAAACCTGTATATAATTAATTTATTGTGCATAACCTCACTGACATATGTATTGCTGGGCAAACCTACACAAGGAAAAGAAAACAAAGAACAAATCATTTTAATTGAGTCAAAACAACCCCTGAATATTCTTTCTTTAATAAAAAATAGTGCATTTCACAAATGTGACTAGCCCTACCTGGCAGTTGCTTTGAGAAGGCAGCAGATCTTCCTCTTTCACTGGTGAACCTCGACTAGAGCCGCCCGAATCAGTGAGCGCTTCCTGACTGCTGACATCCTGTCGTCTGCAGTACCTCCGTGCCTGGTTTGTTGCTCCTTGCATTGAGCTCCTCACCACACCTGCATGCACATCTAATGTTTGTTGTCCAGTGAAATTCATTGGACATGTATAGGGAATCTTATAGTCGTCGTCTGCGAACGAGGCTGGAGACAGTGTGTTATTAAGTGAAGTTTCACTGTTGGTTGTTAAAGAGACGTCCATGCTCTGTACTCTGGTGACGTGCTGGGGTTCGAGGAAGGATTGAGTGGTGGTGCTGGCCGGTATACAGCGCTGGCTGTAGGCTCCCTCACTGCACGATCGCATCATGGGTTTCTGTGCTCGTCTACAGGTCAGCTGACTCGTGCTCCGGTCCAGACAGCGGATACACTTCTGTCTGCTGTGAGAACAGGCATCGGATCTCCTCAGACCTGAGATGAGATACAGACATGTCTAAACCAACTACTGATCTTCTTCACAGGATAAATAATCATGGACAAGTTCATTTTGTACAAACAGGAAACAAGACACTAAGCAGACATGGCTCATCTGAGCCTTTGATGCAAGTCCAGGGTTCCCACACTTTTGACCTATGAATTTCCATGACATCTACATGAGTTCATGATTAATAAATTAATTGAAATAAAAATAATTTTAATTTATTCAGGTTTCCATTTGATACCAATCTTTTTAAATAATGGATTTAAATTATTATTATGATACAAACAAATTGATATTTTTCTCTGGTTTGCACAATTGTTTGTACTCTATACAGTACAAAATACAATATCTAACAGAATAGTATAATATTTTATATATACTTAAATTATATTAAATTATAAATATTATTATTAATTATTAATAGCATATTTCAAATAATTTTATTTATATAGTTATTGCTGTAATCTTTGAATCATATTAAATGATTATTATTATTATTTAATTATATATATAGAAGAGGGACTGAGGGGTAGACTCCGGGTCCTCAAGCTCACCGCATGAGTTCCTGCACCTTCAGTTTTTTCTATAGGACCCTCCTTTGAGCTGCTCGATCTCCTCGGGACGTGGCTTGAAGGGGGCAAATCCTCTTCAGAAGGTGAGGGTTCTTGCTCAGTCTCAGTAGCAGGTGGAAGCTCTTTTGTGGAGTCAAGAGCAGGTTCCTCAGCAGGGATCGGCTTACAGGGCTCTGAATCATGAGAAGTTGATTGTTTTTCTTCCTCTGCAGGATGGGGCTCTGAAATGATATCTGAACCGAGGGAAGCTGGTTCTTGCTTTTCTTCTTCTGGAGGCTGGGTGGTGGCTGAAATTGTTGGTGTAGACTGGCAGTCATCATTATTGTGCAAGTTGCTTGTGGTAACTTTAGTTCTCCCTGCACTGCTGTAGTCTGCAGATGAGGTTTTAGCCATCTTCTCCACTGGAGGAAGAGATGCAGTTGGGGCCAGTCGCCTGCTTGGCCTTTCGGATCCATCGGCACTAGAGAAAGTCTCAAACGAGCTGATCTTCTGCCTGATTGACAAATTGGCTCCCGATGTAGCGGCCCTCAGACTAATCCCAAAGGTCCTGCCAGTATCTTGACTCCTGTTATCTGGATGCTTCAAAGCTTCTGTTATCGGTTTCCCAGACTTAATGCTCTTAATGCTCTGACGTGCCCATGCAGGCTTTGGAGCCACCGGGGGGGCTTTTTTGCCATTGGGAGATTGCTCAGATTTGGAGTCTGAGGTGGTGTTTGTGGTTTCAGAGGCCGTGCCATTAACCTCACTATCTCCATTTTGGTCACTCATGGTTTTGTAGCAGTAGGACTGGTTCTCTGGGCTTTCGGTCAGCTTTACCCAGGGGTCAAGTGGTTGATCTGTACTGACCTCCAAATGAGCCTGACGTCTCAGACCGACCCGCTTACTTGGACTACACACTTTAGATGGGGACTCTGGACCTGTAACATAATAGTGTTCATGTCCTTTTAATTTCCTTTTAATGAGCTGTCGAATAGAGAAGTGCAATGTGAGAACTAACTCACATGCTGCCTCACATCCAATATTTGTCACAATTGTTTTATTTTCATTCAAAAATAGAATGTGATATGAATATATCATATAATATGAAAATATTATAATATAATAATATTACTATAATATGAATGTTACAAAGAAAAGAAAAAACATTGCTTTTCTTTTATAAAAATCTTGCTATACAGGAACTTACTGTTACCAGCTGAATCAGGAAATGAAAAGTCTCAGCATACATGTTTTGATCTTGCTCAGAATAGTATCAAAGTCAATCAAAGTTATGCAACCTACATGACATACGTTTCTCTTTTTGATCTCGTCACGTAATAATATTAACCAGTAGTAGGTGTATTTCAGGTTAACGTACCTCTGTGCTGTCTGTCCCCTCTGTGTGTTGAGTCACTTTTAGGCTCAGAGATACAGGCAAATGCTTTAGTTCCGACTTCTGCGCCTTCAACCACTTCCTGTCACAAAAACAGGAAATGGTTGGCTGAGTTCGAGTCTTACAAAAAAATCGAAAAGGTGTAGAAATGCATTCGGCATCATTTCGTCATGCATCACTGTTGCACACAGAAACACACACTAGAGCCATGCCGCATGCCAAACACTCAAGCATTTCAATACCTGAATCACACATATGACAAAAAGATGCACTATTGTGCAAATAAATGTTTGTATAAAGTGCACACAGATTCAAAATTTTCATCAAACACTGACATGAACACGTCCAGAAAGAAGTAGCATAAATTTCTACGTACATTCTTAAACAGAAGCCTTGAGATCTTTCTCAAAGCCCTGTATAGACTGCAGAAAAACTAGATGCATGTGGAGAGACAATAAAAGATTGTGTAAGGCAATAAAAGTTTTTAAATAATTATAGTCACTGTAAAATCAATGCCTATTTAGGTAAAAAAAAAAATTATTTGTAAAGGAAATAGAAATTAGCATAAAGGAAATGCATTTGTAAAATGTATAAAAGTGAATGTTTTAGATTTGTCCCCATTTTTCAAGTTTTTATCACCGGTTTAATCAACTTACTGAAAGATGGTGTGCATATATTCACTGTAGTCTGACCAACTGAATACTGCTTAGTTTTATTTGGTTGACACCTGTTATGGTGCACTTTTAAATGAAATTAAACTAAATTAATCAAATAATGCATTGTGCGAGACTGATGACTGAGTGCACCTTTAAAAAACATAAAAATGTCTCATTCACTTCCTGTTGGGGTCCTGATTAGCCAATCATTAAAGCAAGAGATGGCCAGATTAGAAATACTGTATGTGAGTCACTCCATCTAATCACAATAATTGACAAAATATTCAAGTAATGGAGTTACTTAAATTATTTTGTTTTATATTTCTAGATTTGAAAATAGATAATGGCAATATGTTTAGTTTTCACATTGTTAAATTTGACACATTTCAGTTTTTCACAGATCATGATGAGGACTGTCATCCTGTTGAACAATTTCCTCATTTTATCGGAAATTGCATAAAATAAAAAAACTATTTGCACACAATGTGTTATGTTTATATATACTTTTATATTTGCTGTCCAGTCAGATGCATTCAAAAATCCATTCAAAAAATCTAAGGAAAAAAAATGAATGCCCCTTTTCTCATTGAGAATTATGACAGCTGCTCACGTGCTCTTTGATGGTGCAAGATTTTCTCATGCAAAACCTGTGAAAAAGTTGCCAATAAGGCAAGGGTTGCAGTTAAGCCAATCATGTCTTGACTTACTCAACTACCATTTATGGGCAATGCATCAGTCTTACAGTGAAAACCGCCTACTTGTAAACAGTCTCTTTGACAGAGAGCAAAAAAAGCAGTAGTTTAAAGTAGATTTAAACCTGTATATAATTAATTTATTGTGCATAACCTCACTGACATATGTATTGCTGGGCAAACCTACACAAGGAAAAGAAAACAAAGAACAAATCATTTTAATTGAGTCAAAACAACCCCTGAATATTCTTTCTTTAATAAAAAATAGTGCATTTCACAAATGTGACTAGCCCTACCTGGCAGTTGCTTTGAGAAGGCAGCAGATCTTCCTCTTTCACTGGTGAACCTCGACTAGAGCCGCCCGAATCAGTGAGCGCTTCCTGACTGCTGACATCCTGTCGTCTGCAGTACCTCCGTGCCTGGTTTGTTGCTCCTTGCATTGAGCTCCTCACCACACCTGCATGCACATCTAATGTTTGTTGTCCAGTGAAATTCATTGGACATGTATAGGGAATCTTATAGTCGTCGTCTGCGAACGAGGCTGGAGACAGTGTGTTATTAAGTGAAGTTTCACTGTTGGTTGTTAAAGAGACGTCCATGCTCTGTACTCTGGTGACGTGCTGGGGTTCGAGGAAGGATTGAGTGGTGGTGCTGGCCGGTATACAGCGCTGGCTGTAGGCTCCCTCACTGCACGATCGCATCATGGGTTTCTGTGCTCGTCTACAGGTCAGCTGACTCGTGCTCCGGTCCAGACAGCGGATACACTTCTGTCTGCTGTGAGAACAGGCATCGGATCTCCTCAGACCTGAGATGAGATACAGACATGTCTAAACCAACTACTGATCTTCTTCACAGGATAAATAATCATGGACAAGTTCATTTTGTACAAACAGGAAACAAGACACTAAGCAGACATGGCTCATCTGAGCCTTTGATGCAAGTCCAGGGTTCCCACACTTTTGACCTATGAATTTCCATGACATCTACATGAGTTCATGATTAATAAATTAATTGAAATAAAAATAATTTTAATTTATTCAGGTTTCCATTTGATACCAATCTTTTTAAATAATGGATTTAAATTATTATTATGATACAAACAAATTGATATTTTTCTCTGGTTTGCACAATTGTTTGTACTCTATACAGTACAAAATACAATATCTAACAGAATAGTATAATATTTTATATATACTTAAATTATATTAAATTATAAATATTATTATTAATTATTAATAGCATATTTCAAATAATTTTATTTATATAGTTATTGCTGTAATCTTTGAATCATATTAAATGATTATTATTATTATTTAATTATATATATATATATATATATATATACAATATGTAATATTTTCATTATATAATACAATGTATATTATTCATTATAACATTTTTTTTTAGGTCTGGAAATCTGAAAATTAAAAAAAATCCATTCATTTCCAAGTTTTCCATGCCTGTAGGAACTGTAAATCATGTTGGACATGATTTGAACCATGTCTCAGGTGGGCATAATATTTTTTCCTTTTTAAGATCCTTGCACACTTAGTCCAAAAATTCTGTATGCATTTTTTGTATTCGTCATCCTCTCCTATCAAAATGCTTCCTAAGGATGCAAAAATGCAGAAAATTGAACCTGGTCCGAATTTTTTTTTTTTTTTTTACGACAGACGAAAGTTTCGGAGGCAGTGTGTAAACGTGATTGACACAATATGAGGTTGTATTTATTTTATAACGTGCGAAAATTTTGGACGAGAATTTCAGACCCAGTGTGCAAAAACCTTTAGTCCAAGTCATGGGCCTTGGGTTCCCGCTTGTAAGTAAAGAATAACATTACAACTAAAACAGTGTTCAACTTGGCCTGTTTCACACATGTACATAAGCAGCACACAAACAGCATTTTTTTCCCCAGTAAATCTGCCTGAATCCAAACACAACCACCTCTACGTTGCATTACCATTTGGATGCAATTGTGCTCCTCATAATATAAAAGGGATAGTTCACCCAAAAATGAAAATTTGATGTTTATCTGCTTACCCCCAGGGCATCCAAGATGTGGGTGACTTTGTTTTTTCAGTAGAACACAAACGAAGATTTTTAACTCAAACCGTTGCAGTCTGTCAGTCTTATAATGGAAGTGAATGGGAATCACGGCTTTGAGAGTCATAAAACAT